TTCTAATTATTTGAGTGAAATAGCCTATAAAATAATGAGTTCAAGTCAATCTCCGCTTTCTAACAGCTTGGCATTTCGGATTAGTGAAAATTAAAGAATTACAAAAATAAAATTATGCACAAGTTTAATTTGGTTAGCACGGAAGGAGCATTCACACTGCTTAATGCACTTAGACCGAATTCACATTTCTAAAAACAGCTCAACTATTATTCAAGATAGAGAAAATCTGCAATTCTTAAATTCTAAAGACTGTATAGCACAATTTAATTTTATTTATTAGTGGGGCGGTTTGGTTTACACTAGGTACATGGATCGGGGTTTGGTTTCTATCAAAACCAAATCAACCAACTATATCGGTTTGAATTGGTTCGGTTTTGTCGAATTTTTGAATTTTTCGAATTTTTTGATTATTTTTTTACGTGAATATTATTTCAATATTACTTTGTTAAAGTTTTAATAAGTAAATATATATTTAGTAGCAATTGATAAAATTAATAAACATATGATCTATTAAAATATTCTTATGAGAGAACTTTCTTAGTAACACATAATAGTTACTCCCTCAGTTTCATATTAGATGAGGTACTTTCCTTTTTAGTCTGTTCCAAAATAAATGACACATTTCTAAATTTGAAAATAATTCAAACTTTAAACTCTTTATTTTACCCCATTTACCCTTAATGAGAAGCTTTTATAGCCACACAAATGGCATGGCCCCACAAACCTTCTACCCATTAAGTTTTAAGACCACAAGTTTCAAAAGTCTTCTTCTTTCTTTTTAAACTCTGCGCCGAGTCAAACTACCTCATCTAATATGAAACAGAGGGAGTATCTTTTTGTCGTCTCACAATAATCTTTCTTTGATGTATACTTTCAAGGTTAACCTAGTTTAATATTTAAACATAAAAATTAATATGATACCTAAATTATGTTCTATTTAATTTTAAATTATCAAAATATCACTTCAAATTCAAAAAAGATAAATGAATTTAATAGATCTTGATATATGAATATGGAAGAACAAAGAGATTGACACATTTCAATAACACTTGATAAGAAAGTGATCATACAACCTATTATTTAAAATTAATAAAAATGGAGCACTTTATATTCTATTAAATATTACATCCATAAGCGAATCTCAAATATTTCTATATATTTTTTTAAAGAATATTCTATATAAAGTCTTAAAAGTATATATAAAAATTATTTATTTATATGTCGATTTGATTCGGATTTTTTTTTACTCATGACCAAACCAAATCAAGTCAAACCTAATCGGGTTTTTTAATCGGTTTGATTTGACTTATCGGTTTGGTGCGATTTTTCGGTCGGTTTTTACACCCCTAATTTACACAATACAAGTGAGGAACAGTTCATGATCCAAGTCTGTAATTTTATTACGATCGTGGAATTTTAAGTTATTGACCATAAAGTCATTGGTTGACTTCGAACAAACAAACACTTATGACTCTAAAATGTGTAACTGATACTCGCTCCGGTCCAAAATAAGTGATTTTTTGGCCTTTTTTTTGTAGTCCAAAATAAGTGATTTTTCTAGATTTCAAGAATGAATTAATTATTTTTTTCCTACATTGTCCTTGAAGTAAATGGTGTTGGAATATGTGTTAGGAGTGTTTATGTGAGATAGTAAAGGTTAATCTGGTCAATTTCATTGCTAATTAATGCTAAAAGATGGATTTCTTAATTTGTGTGAAAACATCCAAAAAAATCACTTAATTAATTAAGGTAATAAGAAGTTGATAAAACGGAAACGCATCTCTCATTTAATGGATTTAATTACTCGGGTGTGATTGACCAAATGAATCGTTTTTAGAATTTAATGAACAGATAATTAAATCGTGCTTCATTTTTGCACAACATTAAGGCAGCTTGGTAATACAAATTGTAGATCTGATTGACTGATTCAACCTCTGCCTTAAGCTTAATTAATTAAGAGACTAAAAACGACATGATACTCAGATCTAAAACAAGGTGGTGACTGTTTTTCCTAGGATTGACTACGATTAATGTTTGGATCCACATATAAATTTTGTGTATCTTTGATTGAAGCAGAGCATTGTGCAATCTAAATTCTTAATTACCTGTATATGTTAAGGGCGGAGCTACAATTTAATTCAAAATGATTAAATTAAATCCCCTTTATCGAAAAAAAATACATGCAAATAGGGGTAAAATAAGGCCTTTTTTATTTTTGTATAATAAATGAATTGCTTAATTAATCCCTTTGACCTCCTAATGCAACACAAACGTAGTTCAAAAATTATTTTAGGTCGCACGTTCATATCTCATGTGTGTTATTGTTGTATTTCTATTAGCATCCTTGTTAGAATTGTTGGCATTATTAGATCCGCTGCGGACGAGTCTTAATTTGCTTTCTTGTAATACAATCTCATTCATAATGCGATTTAACGAGAGCTTATATTTCAATATTACTGGAAAGAAATATACCAATATTTAGGTTTAAGATACTTTAAAACAGTGCATTGACAGATGTAAATATGCCTGAAACATTAAGGAATAACTTCAGATGGAAATAATATCCAACACAAATTACACGTAGTGGGAATCACACTAGTCTTTTCAATTGAAAACTGATCATAAAATCAGCCTAAATATTAGAGTTTCAGACCCATATATTTAAAATGTTTATGAGGAGTTGTATGGACATAAAGATGCTAGTCATTTTACTAAATGAGATATAAGGCTTTATTTGTTAACAATACATAAGTAGCAGGAACCAATTATTCTTGCTGGGTAAAATAATTTTTGAACTTTCATGGTGTATAGGATAAAATCGGTTCACATTACATACTCGAATGACAGAATAACACGTGAAACTCTCCCTCTTGGGAATGACTTGCGTATCGAGTCTCACATCCCCGCCCGCCTCCTGAGTAACACCACTCAACTTGCACTCCAAGTATTTTGTCTTGGTCCTGCTCAACTTGAAACCCTTAGATTATAGAGTATGTCTCCATACCTCCAGCCTTTCGTTAACGCCACATCGCGTCTCATCAATCAGGACTATGTCGTCCGCAAATAACAAGAACCAAGGCACCTCCCCTTGGATGTGACGTGTCAAAGAATCCATCGCCAGGGAAAACAAAAAAGGGCTGAGTGCTGATCCCTGATGAAACCCCATCTCAACCGAAAAGTAGTCAGTGTCTCCTTCTGCTGTCCTTACCCATGTCTTAGCCCCATCATACATGTCTTGGATCACTCTAATATATGCTACAGGCACACCTCCTGCCTCCAAACATCTCCATAGAACTTCTCTCGGTACTTTGTCATAGGCTTTCTCCAGGTCAATGAACACCATATGTAAATCCTTCTTCACCGCCCTATACCGCTCTACCAATTCCTCACAATGTGTATGGCCTCAGTAGTCGACCGTCCCGGTATGAAACCGAACTGGTTCTCAGAAATGGACACACACCTCCTCAATCTCCCTTCAATCACCCTCTCCCACACTTTCATCGTATGGCTTAACAACTTGATACCCCTATAGTTGTCACAGTTTTGGACATCCCCCTTGTTCTTGTACAACGGAATCATCGTACTCCGCCTCCACTCTTCGGGTATCTTCTTCGTCCTAAAAATGACGTTAAACAACCTAGCAAGCCATTCCACGCCCTCCTTGCCCACACTCTTCCAAAATTCCACCTAGATCTCGTCCGGTCCAGTCGCTCTACCCCTACTCATCCTGCGCATAGCCTCTTCCACCTCCCCCACTCGTATGCGCCTACAGTACCCAAAATCTCGCTGCCACTCCGAGTACTCCAACTCCCCCAATGCGATGCGCCTATCTCCCTCCTCGTTCAAGAGTTTATGGGAGTACGCCTGCCATCTCCGCCTGATCTGTGCCCCCTCCAATAAAACTCTTCCCTCCTCGTCTTTTATGCATCTCACTTGGTCCAGATCCCGGGCCTTCCGCTCCCTCACCTTAGCTAACCTATACAATTTCTTGTCCCCGCCTTTAACCCTCATTTCTTCATATAAACGACTAAATGCCGCGGCCTTAGCTGCTGTAACCGCCAACATCGCCTCTCTCCTAGCCTTCTTGTACCCCTCCCTGTTGGCACTCTAAATGTTCTTATTGCTGCCTCCGAAAGCCTGCTCCCGGAACCAAGCGGTCTGCTACCTTATCTCAATTTCAACGCTAAGTCTTGCATTTTATTTGATTTGTTTATCATTTTGGGATCAAGTCGATTCGTTTGTCTATAAACCACGCTATAAATTCAACTATACTATTTTACGGGTAAACACATGTGTTTCTCAATATGCTTGACGATGGAAAACACAAATTGAATAGAATAAAATGACCTTGCAAAGATCGTTTGTGTTTTATTCATAGTTATCTGTGATGCTTTTACTAATCCCAATAAAAATAGTCATATAACTAAAATAACATTTGTAATGAAGTACAAAACCAAATCTTCTGTTTGTTGCAAGGGAAGGGTGATTAGGGCATGTGAAGCCTTGCCCCACAAAACCTTCAAGATATGCACAAAGAGTTAAGGTTCCATTACTCTTAACTCTTCAATTAACTAAACAAACTCATCTTACATGGTTCTTTGAACGCCTCATGAGACATTAGTGATTCTAGTGAGGTTAATTCCATGGGCTCTGAGATCCCAAAAAATTTAAAACAATTGTTATTAATTGAAGATGCAATCTTTTAAGAAGTTGAGAACGAAAAGGCAACTTTAAACAAACTGATAATAAGTACTCCCTCCGTTCCAATTTATGTGTACTTGTTTGATTGGGCACGAAATTTAAGAAAAAATGAAGATTTTTGGAATTTGTGATCCTAAACAAGTCAAATAGGGGCCCTAAGTATTTGTGTGATTATAAAAGCTTCTCATTAAAGGTAAAATTGTAAGTTTAAGCTAAATTGTTTTCAAATTTAGAAATGGTCATTCTTTTTGGAACGGACCAAAAAGAAAATAGGTTCACATAAACTGGAACGGAGGGAGTAATACATAACTGTGATGTACAATATAGAAACGTAATTGTGAATTTCTTACTCAGAACTACAAATGAGGTATGAATTGTACTGTCTAAGACGAAAAGGCTACAATGTTCGATTTTACAGGGTAAAGAGTGGCACTGGATTTCAATACTTGAGCTTCCTTAATTGGTATGATATGCCTACAATATGGTAGTCTCTCTTTATTTTTATTTTTAATTTTTTTTTGGGAGGGGATTGCAACTTACATTTCTTGCTTTGAAAAAGCAAGTGCATAAATGTTGATGCTATTCATGGAACAACACTTCAATTATTTATTTTGCTTAATCTGACCCCTTGTTTACTGGAGGAGCTCTGTGATATGCTGGTATTGTTGTTGGGAAGAACATTTGCCTGACCCCTTCTGCTTTTATAATGGGAAATATGATACTCGATGCAGCCTGCAAAAAGGGAATTCACGCCATATGAGTCACACTTTTGCAGAAGGAAAAACGATGATGCAGGAAAGCAGGAATTTAAACTGGAACGAAGTGCAACATAGCACATGTACGAAGATTCAATGGAGGAGAAAGTTTGAAAATCATAGTTCAGGTACATACCGAGATTAATCTAGCTCCAATCCACAATCTCTTTGGGGAAGGAAATGGCACGAGTAAACGACCAGCTCCATATATGGCCACAGCAAAGAAATGGAGTACCAAGCTCAGCGGGCTAGGATTAAGACCAGAGAGTAGAGCTACGGGTCCTGTTGAACAAGTACCCCCAAGACTCAAATAATCGAAACATGCTTCTCGCATCTCCTTCCTCGCTTGATCAGGAGAAGCACAGAACACCTTGTACAGTGCTCCAGCCAGAGTATTTATTGTTGAAGCCACTGGCTGCAAACAGAGACCAATACAATAATGAGTGACAGGCTAATTAAGTCATAAAAAAGAAACAATTTTTTCAATCCAGTGTTTCAGTTCAATTTGTTTGTATTCTTTTCAAGGGAAGAGCTATCAAATAGAGACGTATGTTTCAGAAATTAATCCCACTTCAAATAAAATATGATTTTCTGAGAAATTGGCGAAGCTTTCAGGTAAAAGATTTCTCATGCCACGTTAAAATGCAACTTTTCAGTTCATAAAACATGAATAAAGCAGTTAAAAGTAGAGAAAAGAATATGGATGTTTTAGCTAATGATAATTAAGCATATGTCCTTTCTCCTACACTTGATCAAGAAACTGAAATCAAATTTTCTTCTCAATAAGCCATAACACATATTACTACAAATCAGTCAAAACTGATAATAGCGTAAACCAGAGGACAGAGTCGGAGCTTTACCTTGCGCAAAGTATAAAAGGACTCCAGATATTTACATAACTCATCTGCATCATTCAGGTCGTTCAATGGCTTAAGAAGATTCCTTAACACTGCAATATCTGAAAGCGCAACTGTCATTCCCCCACCAGTTAAAGGATGGCGCATGTTAAAAGAATCACCAAGTAACAGAGCTCCAGGGGTAGGATACAGAGCAGCTGGCATGCTCCTATTTGGCATAGTTCTAATATGCCCCTTATCAATTGCAGTTATAAAAGCATCATGTAGCTCAGGTGGGACCTGAATAAATCAATAGATCAGTAACAGAAGCATGTCGGAAGGAATAAGAAATGTATCTTCAGAAACAGGAAGTTATATATGAGGTAGAAAAAAAATCTAGGGCTTGATAACTGGCAGTATATATTCTGATGTTTTAAAAGATTAGTACTATGTAAGGAAACTATAGCTACCTGGGGAGCCACCATAGTCTTCAAATAATTTGCCATATCACCATTAGCAAGAGAAGGAAGCTTTTGACCAGGTACATCGACCAAGCAGCGGATTTCTGTGCTACTAATAGGATAAAATAAGATGGGCGAAGGATCTGCCAGAATAACATGCCCATGGTTTGGGTATGGAAGTTGATCGTTCTCCAGTTCCAATACCAAACCAACAAAGCAAGATGGGATATCAACCTGCAAATGTCAATAGGTAACCACACTTACAATGATTCCAAGATCTAAATATGCCAAACTCAGCCCAACTCACATATATCACCAGGCATATGAAAGCACAATTTTTTGCTTGACCTGATGCATGCATATGACATCAAAGAAAGAAATCAAGCGACGTGTTTAATGGTTCTAAGTTCACCTTAGGGTTGCAAAGAGAGCGTCGCAAGTTTGAAAAGCACCCATCACAAACTACTGTAAGAGGAGCATGTGCTTTAAGTTCTTGACCGGCCTTCGTTTTGAACTGGACACCCTTAACGGATCCATTTTCTTCAATCAGGGATGTTACAGTGCCTTGCTCCAATCGTACACTGTACATAATTTAACAAAGAGCAGCCAGCTGATAGTTTGCAACTTTGTTAAGGAGAAGGATAATTACAAAAGCAAGACTGCATCAATTACTAAAAGCATGAAACGTGTCAAGCAGATCAGTTACAATAAATAGACTGCATAGGGAAAGCTTACTTGGGAAGAGTAGCTGCTTTTTCTCTCATCTTTTGTATGAAACGCCCATTGTGGAAGCTTCTCCCAGCCACATCAGAATGGAAATTTTCCAAGGGATAGGAAACATTTGTGCTTTTCCCATCCTTGAAAAGAGCATATCCAACCACCCGCTGGGCATCAATATCCTCAACACAATCTGCAGCCCAATGGAAAACGTCAGGAGTGCACTACCAAAAACAATTACGCAAACTTAGATTGGAAACTGAAATATTTGTCAATAATTCAGTTAAAACTAGAACTTAATTCATAGTTTATAGTAAAATCTAGTATTGGGCCTACCAGCTCTATCACAGAACTATCAATTGTAAGCTCTTTGTTTTGCTTTCTTTTTTCTTTTTTCTTTTTTTTTTCTCCTCTTACCTTCAAGGCCCAACTCAATCAATTTAAGATAACCTCCAGGCTGTAGCAACTCGCCAACAATCCGGTCGGGCTCTGTCAAATCCCTTTCAATGACAAGAACTCTTCGCCCTTCCTGCAACAGTGGCCAAAGGATAAAAAGTTTAGGGGCTTGGGGAGGATCAGGGCAATTGGTAAAAGCTCAAAAGATAAAGATTTTCTTGTGTCCTGCTCATGGACTAATAAGTTAACAAAAAAAAAAAAAAGAAACAAGTTGAAGGATCAAATGCCAAAATTTCCATGACAGCTAGAGACTCATAGTTTTTACCCCGGACCATTAAAATATCACACTTACCATCATGATATGAAAATTAACAGCACCATTATGTTGGATTAAAGATAATACACAACTCCGTCTTCCGAAAGTTTAACATATTTTCCTTCCCAAGATACAAACTAAGTTAATCTCGACCAACATCTTAGAATTCTGCTTGCACCATTTTGATATGAGTGGAATTGCAACTTATAGTACTTTTCCTATGGTTTCTGGTCAGCTGGCTTTTAATTCCAAAACAAAAATGAATTAATCAAGTCCAATTTTGCTCTGAAATTTAGTCCAATTAACTCTTGATAAGCGAAAGTGCCAGACTAAATTAGGATGGAAGGACTAGTTTATACGCATACAAGTAATTTAAATTCAAAAGACCTTCTTGAAAAGAGCTAAAAGTTACTCTTTACTAGAACTTTTAATGAATCTGCATATGCAAAAACAAATTTTCCTTCATCCCTCTTTCTAGACCCACAATATCACCTCACCAATAAGATAATTTCCTTTTCTTTTTTCCTTTTTTTTTAATGACGGTGGTGTCGGCAAGTTTGCACTCACCTAGACTATTCCACCAAGTACCTGTTAGGCTAGGCTGTTACCTTCCACCAGCAAAGACACCAATTAACTCAACCCACTAAGGCTTACGCAGATGAGACGAAACCATGTCGTGTTTTGACTCTTTCAATTCGTTCTTGCTTTCTCCGAAATGACGAATTAATCTTCTCTTAGTTAGAAAAAAAGGGTTTTTCTCTATAAGTAATATGTTAGGAAAAGGAACTTGGAAATTAAAAAATGAAAACAGTAAGTAGAAAACAGACAATAAGAGAAATTAGAAATAGACCTTGCCAAGGGTATGAGCAAGAGCAGCACCGGCAACCCCAGCTCCAACAATGATGATATCAGCATCGGACCCTTTTTCCAATTTGCATTCACCATTGATTAAATTGCTAGAAATTACGTTGTGGGTGTCACATTTTTGGCTGGTTTTAGGGTCTTTTTTCTTGTAATAGGTGGTTCTTAATCTTGGTCGCAAAATATAAAGAAGAAGGAACCCCAATAGAGAAACAAAGAAAGTGGTGACAATATATTTATCCATCATGAAATTCACCATTTTCTCGTTGGTAGAGATGAATTGGGGCTGTGTATTTCGCAAATATTTGGAAAAAGAGATCAAGGCTAATTTTTTCTTTCTACTTGAAGCAGAGGGCTGAGATAATTGTGGGGGTGTTTGGTTTGTTGACGCAGGAAAATTGTGTTTGGAGAAGACGAGGGAGAAAGATATATTGTGGGGAGTATTTATAAGCAGCATTTAAATCGGAAGTGGAGATCCAATTGGATCGTTTGGTTTTGGGTGGACATAGGAAGTACAGCAAAGCAAGAAGAGACAATATTGAAGTCTCTGGTAGGACTAACAATTAAACACCTCAAAGTTCATTGGCGGGACTTGAGTGAATAAAAGACTATGCATGCAAAATTTTGTATGTGAAAATTCTATAGCCAACTCCAACTTTTTGTTATATCAATAAGCATTAATCTAGCTAACTTCAGCTTATTTCAAAATTAGTAATTTATTTGGACCGAGGTATAATTATTGTTGTTATACTGTGATGACCCGATAGGTTATCTAGTATTTTAAACCTTAAATTTGCGTTTTGAAGTCTCTGATAGCTTCGTTAAGCCTTTCTCAATTTGCGTGCACAGCCAGGGTATTTTCCGGAAGGCTTCTATGTTAAATATTGATAAAGTAAGAAATTTTGCCTTTAAAATCTATTTGAGTTGACTTCAAGTTAACGTTTTGAGCAAACGGATCCGGATTCGTGTTTCGACGGTCCCGGTGGGTCCGTATGGTGATTTGGGAGTTGATCGTTTGCTCGGAATCGAATTCGGAGGTCCCTAACTCGAGTTATCGCATTTTGCCAAAAATTAAAAGTTTAAAGGTTTAGTGATTTTAAAGAATTGACCCGTGTTTGACTTTGTTGGTACCGGGTCCATATTTTGATTTCAGAACCCGGTACAGGTCCATTACTATATTTATGACTTTTCTGTCAAATTTGGTGAAAACGGAGTTAGTTTGACGTGATTCGAACGTCCGCTTGTTAAAATATTAGTTCACAAGTTTTCTTGAAAATTTCATTTGATTTGGTGCCCGATTCATAGTTCTAGGTGTTATTTTGGCGATTTGATCGCGCCAACAAGTTTCTATGATGTTTCTGGCTTGTGTGCATGTTTAGATTGGAGCTCCGAGAGTTCGAGTGAGTTTCAGATAGGCTACGGAGTGTTTCTGAACTTAATTGGAATATTGGTGCATCAGGTCAGCGGACTTCGTAAATGCGAGGTCTGGCTTGCAAATGCGAGCCTCCCATTTGCGAGCCTCGCATTTGCGAGCAGGGGCTAGGGGTGGACTTTCGCATTTGCGAGATCAGGTTCGCATTTACAAACATTTTGTTCGCATTTGCGAAGGCAGCAGGAATGTTCATACTTCGCATTTGCGAAGATTTATCCGAATTTGCGGGTTCGCAAGGTCGCAATTGCGACACCTGCACCTAATCAAAATCTGCATTTGACGGAATTTTCTCTAATTTTTCAAATTTTCAAACCTAGAAACTCTAGAGGCAATTTTCCAAGAACTTTTCTTCCCCAATTTATTGGTAAGTGATCCTGACCTATTTTCTTTCAATCGTTTCATTACATCTCATAAGATTTCAACCTAAAATCTAGGATTTTCATGATAAAAATTAGGAGTTTGGTTAGAATTAGGGTTCTTGTAAATTGGAATTTAGATCTCAAATTGAGGTCAGATTCCGAAATAAATTACATAACCGAGCTCGGGGGTGAATAGGTAATCTGGTTTTGGTCCAAATTTTTGATTTGGACCAAGCGGGCCGCGATCGATTTTTGACTTTTTGGGAAAAAGTGGGAATTCTAAATTTATGCATTGTAATTGATTCCTTTAGTAATATTTGATATTATTGAGTCAATTGTGGTTAGATACGAGTGGTATGGAGGTGGATTCTAGGGGAAAGACCCCGGTAGAGTTTTGAGTTGACTGCGAAGTAAGGTAAGTGTTGAATTTAACCTTGATTTGAGGGAACTAGGAACTATCGGACTATGTGCTATGTGAATTTCATGTGTTACGGCATTTAAGCGAGGTGACAAGTGCTTATACGCCGCTGAATTACTTGTTTTCCCTAATTTTTCGCTTTTTTTTAATTATCTCCTTCCATGCCTTAGTTGTTATGTGCTTTAAATGCCTTCTATTCCTTATTTGCTACTTTTTAATCATTGTGATTTGAGTTAAAAATGTTAGACCTTTTCATGCTTTATGACTCGCTGCTATTTGTCTTATTTGACTTCGTTGTACGTTCTAAATCGTCATTTACCGGACTTGTCTTGCTCAGTAATATTACAATTGTGGATTCTCAATTTGGTATAGACCTTCCTTTCTGATTCAGCTTTATATATGTCAATGGTAGAGGTTCTTGTGATTTGAGTTAGTGATTTGATTGTACTCATTGAGTATTTGGTACTGATATGGTGGATCGGATTGCAAGCTGCAACAGTGAAATAAGGGTGGATTAATATGATGGGATAAGGGTGAATTTGTATTATTAAGGTGGGACCGAAGCACGCCGCAACAGCTGAAATAAGGGTGGATTGATACGGTGAAATAAGAGTGAATTATGATACTGAAATTGTTATATGGCGGGATCGGGTTGCGCGCCGCAACATATATATTTATTTATGATTGTTGATATTGTTACAGTGGAATAAGGGAGGATTCTATGTTGTACGGTGGGATCGGGTTGCATGCCACAACAATTTATATGTTTCTATTTCTTGGAGCTATGTTGGTTTTCGGCATTTACTTACAGAACTTTAAGGATTGGTAATTCTGATTGTCACTGGTTCTTATTTGAGGATTTAGCTTCTTTTTTTTCCAGATAACTATCTTATTTCGTTCTGTATTTCTTTCTCCTGTTTTATTATATACAATGTACAAGTTGTAGTGTAAGTGACCCGTCTTAGCCTCGTCACTACTTCATCGGGGTTAGGCTCGGCACTTACAGAGAATATGGGGTCGGTTGTACTCTTACTACATTTTGCACTTCTTGTTAAAATTTTGGAGTCGGTCTCAGCGGGGGCTATTAGCGTGCTTGGATTGGCCAGCTTGGCGGAGACTTGAGGTACAGCTGCTCAGCATTCGCAGCTCCTAGAGTCCCCTTTCATTTTTATTTAGCTGTGTACTTTCCTTCCGACGGCTTTATATTTTTATTTAGACCCTTATTTGTACCATTCTTGTAGCTCGTGCACTTGTGACACCGGGTCCAGGGTTGTATCAGATATTTTCGTTGTTGTAGCTTCCGCATTTTACTTTGGAGTATTGCAGTTCTTTCAGTCTTTCTCATTAATTAATTTAAACTGTTGAAAACATATAAATTGTTCTAACGTTGGCTTGCCTAGCAAGTGAAATGTTAGGCGCTATCACTGTTCCGACGGTGGGAATTTTGGGTCGTGACAAGTTGGTATGAGAGTACTAGGTTACATAGGTCACACGAGTCACGAGCAAGCTTAGAGTCTGGAGGATCGGTACGGAGACGTTTGTATTTATCTTTCCAGAGGCTATGGAGTTTAGGAACAAAATTCACACCTATTCTTCTCCATCGTGCGATTTTATTCTATCATTGACGATTGAACCCTTCTGTTCTTGTTCTCTCGTAGATGGCGAGAACACGTACTACATCTTCAGCTGGACAGCAGCCGGAGCCCCCAGTGGCAGCTCCCTAGGGGCAGAGGTCGAGGCCAAGGTTGCGCTAGAGGCGAGGTTGAGCTCAGCATAGAGCTCGAGTGCCAGTGCCGGCAGTGGAGCCTCAGGTAGATTTTGATGGAGAGGTTCCAGCTCAGACTGCACCTGTTGGACTAGCTCAGGTCCCGGAGGGATTCATCGCCACCTTAGTGCTTCAGGACGCTCTAGTCCGTTTGGTAGGCTTTATGAAGACTGTGGCCCAGGGTACATTTCCTATATCACCAGCCATCTCTCAGGCTGGAGGAGGAGCACAGACTCCCGCTACTCACACTCCGGAGCAGATGGCTCCCTAGTGTAAGAATCCAGCAGCCCCGCCAGTTAAGGTAGTTCAGCCGGTTGTTGCGGCACATGCCGGTGATGGGCCAGCCATGTCTTTTGAGGGCTTATTGAGATTGGACAAGTTTACCAAGATCTTCCCAGATCACATTAGTGGTGCAGCTTCTGAGGACCCACAGGATTATCTTGACCGCTGCCATGAGGTGTTGCGGAGCATGGGTATAGTTGAGACCAATGTGGTCGATTTTGCTATGTTTCAGATGACGGGTTCCGCCAAGAGATGGTGGAAGGATTATGTATCTACCAGACCAGCTGGATCGACTGCTCTTACTTGGGACCAATTCTCTCAGCTATTTCTAGATAAGTTCCTTCCTATCACACTGAGGGAGGATTACCGCAGGCAGTTTGAGCCTCTCTAGCAGGGCAGTATATCAGTCACTCAGTATGTGACCCGTTTTGTGGACCTAGCCCGTCATGACCTTCTTCTAATTCCTACTGAGAGAGAGAGGGTGAGGAGGTTTATTGAGGGACTCACTCACCCTATCAAGCTACAGATGGCCAAGGAGATCGGGGGTGAGATTTCTTTTCAGGAAGCTGCGAATGTCGCCAGGCGGATCAAGATGGTTCTTTCACAGGAGAGAGGGTAGGGGTCTGATAAGAGGCCTCGTCATTCCGGTGGCTTTAGTGGTGCCTCACCTGGAGGCAGGGTTACTTTTGGTAGGGGCCATCCTCCCAGGCCATTTCAGGCGGGGCTTCAGGCATCCCTCGATGCTTCAAAGAGTCGTGGTCCTTGTGTGCCTTATTCCGGGCAGCCAGCCTACAACGCACCATCAGCTCCTATTAGTGCGCCTCCGATTCAGAGTTATCACCGTGGTTATCCGGCCCGTTTGGGTCAGTCTCAGTTTCAGTAGCCACAACACCAGCATGGATGTTTTGAGTATGGTGGTTTTGGGCATATCAAGAAGACCTGTCCGAGATTATTGGGCGGCACACTACAATAAAGTTCTCATAGACACCGGTTGCACCACCGCCCGCTCAACCAGCAAGAGGTAGGGGTCAGGCAGCTAGAGGTAGAGGTCATGCCGTTAGAGGTGGAGGTCAGGCTGCTAGAGGTGGAGGCCAGCCATCTAGAGGTCGTCCTAGAGATGTAGTTCAGAGTGGTGGGGCCCAACCTTGATTTTATGCTTTCCCAGCCAAGGCTGAGTCATCTGACACTGTTATCACAGGTATTATTCCAGTTTGCCATAGAGATGCTTCAGTTCTAATTGGTCCGGGCTCTACTAATTCCTACA